TGATAAAGGGAAATTATGATCATTCTACACATTTAAAGAAGAATTCTTTCATTGGGGTTTCATGGAAGGTATATTCTTCCTTTCTTTCTTGTAGTTCTTTCTTTATTGTATTTTCTTAAAATAAAACCCTGTAAAAATATACTACAATTGGTAAAAATTCTGGCCTTGATATGGTAGCTAGTTTGGCAAATGCAAGAATGTACCCTCATCAGGAATATAAAACATATCACGAGTGCTGTAATCCATGTCCCTCTTGGGGGACAGACATTACAGGAAGACCTTCATTTTATTCATTTTCTTTTACATACTGCTTTTTTTCTTTTGGGTTCTAATTTGTATCAAACAAATTGTGATGCATATATATGTATTGCATTTTTGCATGATATATTTGTATACTTTAATGCTTCATATAAATTGTTTTCATGCAAAACTCATTAAACACTATTGAACTCTGTGAAGGACAGACAGTGAAGGTAGAGCAGAATCAACCTTGATATGGCAGCAATACTCCATTGTTGTCTATTTCTAAACAGAAATTCTCATTAATTTTAGACAAGTTTAGAATTTCATTTATTTTTATTACTTCTTATTGCAGCCCTTATGCACTAATACCCTTGGGGAAGGTATGAATCCAACATTTCTCCTCCCAAGTATAGGTAAATAGTAGGATAGATTGGGTTCTATAGCTTTGGGTGGCAACCTGTCTAGGAGAAGGAAACCTCTGAATTCAAAACTGTATGTAGCCCTGGTGAAGTACATACTATGCAGCTAAGGAAAGGATCAGTTGCATTGACTTGGTGATTCCAACTATGGTCAACCCCTTTTTATTGCATCAACACACATTGTTATTAAACAACATTAACAACAGCAGAAATGACCAAAGCATGAAACAAAGACAAAAGATAAACTAATATGAAATTATTAAGAATGAAAATGCTTCATCTAAGAAATTCGGTAACTTAAGACTATTATGTCTGCTACTACTAATAGAGAAAGATAAAAGATCCAAGTCTGAGTTTTCCTGCAGGCTTATCTTTCTTTTATGCCTAACAAATACCACCTACTAACAATTATGGAATTATGATTTAGAAGTTGTGATACAAAGAAATTCAGATTAAAAAAAAGCAACAAATACTCATCAAAAATTAATAATACTATACAGTAGACCAGTTTACCTGACTGAACTTTTAGTATTCTACATTAAATCACTTAAAACCAGAGATGGCACCACAAGATGTCATGGCACTAAATCAGTTTTAACTAGTGAATGGCCAGCATCAACTGATGTTTTTCATTGGAGATCAGTGGATATCATCATCAATTGATGATTTAAACTTTTCCCAATGATAGAAGCATCATTTATTCAGGATTTAAATCTAAATGACTAATTGGCAACACTAGAATTCATGAGGTTACCATTTATTAGGATTCATGAGGTTATGTCATATCCTGAGTATTTGCCTGCAAATAAAGCTGGAAGAATGAATCAAAGACATTGCTATGTCTGCATTATTTATTTCTTGAAGAGAAAAGAGGTGAACAATGGTAATAACTTGATGCAAAAATGCTGAACTTCATTGAGTGCAGAATGCTTCAAAAGGATTGATATTGTTAAAAAAAAATATTAAATTTAAGAACCTAATATTTGTTTTATTTCCGTTTTTTATTTTCTTATGATCTAAAAAGAATTAAAATATAATTTTTATACTTTTTGCAAATAATTAAAGTGAAAATAATCATAAAAACTTTTTTTTTTCTCTTTGGCATGCACACATTAGTTAAACATTTTCCTAACATCTAAGAGTTAAAAATTCCTTAGTCTATATTTTTTATCAGATCCTTTCATAAAATAATTATTTCTTTTACAGGGTGCCCCATAAAAAAAATAACAGGAAATCTGGTACAGTTGTAACAGTTGGGATTTTTGTTACCATTATTTGAAACAAAAGTAAAGAATAGAAATAGTAACTTAAAACAGAACAAAAACATAGATGTTAGATGTGGTGTTCAAACTAAAAAAAATTAAAAAAAAATTTTTATGTTAATTTTTTTTTCATCATATAGGAAATCTAAAATGTCTTGTTTTTTTGTGGGACACCCTGTTGATCTATCATCCTACTGTGAACTTAGTTTTTGGTTTGTTTTTGATTTTTTTATACAGCTTTTTATTTATTTTCTGGAATGAGACCTATACATTTTTTCCACATATAAAACTTATAAAAAAGTTTTAGAAGTTAAAAAACAAAAGGAAAATTAACTTTTATTATTTTGAAAATAAATAGCAGTAATAACTTTAGACAATACAGCTCAGATCAATAGCATTGTCATATATCACAATTTTTATCAGTGCTAAAAAGACAGTCTTCTGTTTAGTTTTCAGCTCCAGTAAAAAAAAAATAAAATAAAAAAAAATGAAGGCACTGAAGCACTGCTCAGCTTTCCCTATAGCACCATGAATTAATACAGGATAGCTTATGTTATCATCTAATAAATTCATAGAAAATAAAACCCTTTGAATATTTTTACACTTAATATTATAATCAACATTGATCACATATAGCTTACATTGATATACAATATCAGATGGTAAGTGTTCATATAAGCGGTATAACTTTGTTACTCTAATTTATTTGTCCATCATCTTTAAAACTGACTTTGATGAAAGCACAAACCATTTTATAGATTAAAGATTTCCTGGTCAAAAACAAGAGTCAACAAGTACATAAAAATGTACTTTTAAGTGAATAGATCGGATTGTGTGAGCATACTAAATACTAAACTTGAACTTCATAGAAGTTTATCTAAAAGTTGAACAATATTTTGTATTTTACCATTGTCTTCTTGGAACAACTTGAGTGTTAACTTTCGAAACAAACTTGTAAATACTTTATACAAATTGTAAACGTTTTGCTGTCATCAGATTTAAGCATAAAAAATCTTGTATCTCTTAAAAACATGCTAAATAAAACAATTCAAAATTTTTTTTAGCCAAATGTAGAGCAAATAAAGCAACATGATGTTAATTTAGCTAAAGTTCAATATGGCAGTTTTCAAGTGTATCTCCATGGAAAAAGAGATGTGATAGGAATGGAAATAGTTCATGTAAAATTGAAAAAAAAATAGTTATATCTACAGAGTTGCCTTTGGTGAGGAAGAAATTACATGGGGCAATAAAGATTTTCCTACTAGAATAAAAGTGTAAATTTTAGACTAATCAAATAAGCTCATTCAAATCTGTACTCTGAATTGATCTAGAAGCCTAAGATTTTTGGTTGCATGTATGCACATGAGTGGGGAGATATTAATTACACTAATCAACAAAATAAAAACAAACAACATTACTATACTAAATTCAATACATGTATTCCAAATTGGTACTTCGATTTGTTCTACCACATCAGGTTTTTCAAAAAAGCATATTAGTGATCAAGATAAATTAGTAAATTATTTGTAGTAGATTAGTATCCATTTGAGCCAGCAGCATGGGTTTTATTAATATTAGCTACACAGTACTTTCTTAGATCTTAGTGAAGAAAAAAACTATACTGATTTCAGAAACAACAATCTAGAACTGATTTAAAAGAGTAGGATACAGAATATCTCTTAAAATGCATTTTTCCCAACAGATCTGAGTACCATGGGTAAAGATTCATGTTGGGAGGTTCTACCAGGATATAACTGAGGCCATGGTAACCCTAAACCTGATATGCAACTACTGCTGGTTCCTACAATAGGAGACCAGATAAAACATGGGAAAAGTTTAACTGCAATAAAATGGTATGTCAAAAGGACAGTTTTTCCCTTGACACTGGGTTAGTATAAAATAATAGATTTTATACTACCTTTGCTTTCTTGGCAATGTTTGTTTTAAAAAACAATGATTAGAATTTTAATAAAACCTAAATATATGAAAGTGAATGTATATATTCTTTTTGTTCTTTTGAGAATTTATGACTGTAGTGTATTGGTAAATTGGATTGTACCTATTTGCATATATTAAGTAAAAGCAATATAAAGTGTATACTAAATTAAGAGACAGGCAAAAAGTTGGCTACTGATCACATGTTGTAGAACAATACAACAAAAAAAAATATTAAACACTATTTATTCATTAGATTATTTATAAGAATAATTTTATATTTACACATTCTAAAAATGCAGTCTTATCAATTACCAATTCATAAAGAAATAAATATGAAAATTTCTTTTCAAATTTATTTCTTTATAAAATGGTAAATAATATCATACTGTATTTGGTTCATATATTTTTATAATCTTGTAAATAAACATTGCTGACGGAATTTTTGGTAGTTTAAATAATAGTGGTGTCAAGGGAAAAACCATTTTTTTTGTGCGCACGAAGGTTAAAAGTTGCCAAAAACATCTAAGTCTAAAGGCAGAAGAAATTAAATATTTGGTGGAACTGTACAATAGGCACTGTAACCAGAAATAACCAATTTTTTTCATATTGCTATCAATGAAACAATTCAGATCACAAATATTTAGAAAAAATTATTACATTTTATAAAAGTTTATAAAGCAAAAGGGGTTACAGTTTGCTATGTAAATTCATTGTAAATTAACTTCCTTACAAATCAAATATGTTCATATGATAATAACATTTTTTTTTAAAACTTCATAAAGTCAACAGGCAGTTATAGTACTTTTTAAAACAAAATTGCTAAGGGAATATACACTAATAACAGTATCAAAAGAAAAACTATCCTCTTCACACACCATTTTTTTTTCTAGTCCTAATGTTAAACTTTGCTGGTATTTGGAATCAATGTATATGATTTAGTCTGTCTATATTTCTGAGATGAGGTATTGTAATTATTTACACTATTTACATTGTTCAGACTATTGTCCTCATTTTTGTTGTTATATGACAACGAAGATGAGGACAACAGTCTGAACAATGTAGATAGTATAAATGATTTAGTCTTATAAAGTATCATTTATCTGAGTATTAGGGTAAGAAAAAGAGGAAATATACTGACCTGATCAAAGTATTCTTCAGCAATTCTTTGTGCCCAAATAGAACACAGCTCCAATGGGCGGCATGGATTAGATATATCTGCACATTTAATGAGCATCCGCTTGATGAGAAGACGGCTGTCATCGGTGGACAGGTGGGTAACAATATCATTCAGGCTTTCTTCACTGCCTCGGTCCCCCTTTGACAAGAAAAGAAAAAAAACTGAAGGAAAACCTAATAAAACAAGAATAAAAAAAAAACACATTTTTTTTCTTTCAAAGTTGTTCATATTCCCAGTTTAATTTTTAAAGTTTCTTTCTTTTTAATTCTTTCATTGATCAGGTGATTTCATTTACAGCATATCAACTCCTTGTGGGTTATTTAATACCAGAATTTATTACAACTTTGGATTTTGCATTGGTTATAGATTTTCCTGCCTTTTTTTAATAAGTTTTAACATTAATATTTTGTTTTATTTTAATTAGAAACTTTATATGATTAAAAATTTCCAATGTTTTGTTTTAAACATTTGATGTTAAGTGAAAGTTTTTTTTATATACATATATATAAATTTATCAAAATTAATATCTATATACATTTAAAAACTGTTTTTTTAAAAAAGAAAAAAAAAAAAAAAGAAAACAAAAAAAACAGTTTTGAAGTATATACACAACTGCATTTATGAATTGTAAAATGCTACTTGATTTGACATTGTCAAAAAGATCTTTTAGTTTGGTTGTTCTGTAATATTTTTCATAGACTAGTTGGAAGGCAACACATTCTGTCAGTGTGTGCTTGACTGTGTATCTTTGCAGACAAATTATACACATTAGAAATCCGTCATTTTTTAGTATGTAGGAACAATGTCATAATGGTTTGCCCAGTGTGGAGCCTGGCAAGAGCAACTTCTTCTTTTCTTACCTTCCTGTAGCCTGAAGGTCATTGTCCGATGTTGGGGTTAATATTAAATAACTTGTTGTTTAGGCAGGAGTTACATATCTCTTTCTCAAAATTTATTTATTAATGGTTTGCTTAAAATCTGCGTATGGTATTTTGTCTATTGAAAGTTTCAGTTCTAATGATACTCCTGTCGCTTTATCAGCTCCATCATAGCCATGGAGACCAATATGGCTTGGTATCCAAGATGATGTCTTTATTTTTTGACATGATGTTAATGCTATTAATAGCTTGTAGAAGGTGGGGCATAAATACCTCCAACATAATTGTAAGACATTAGCTAGATGAAGACATCATTGCCACTAATATCTTAGCATTACGTGGGAAGTATTTCTGGGAAGAATATATGGGAGGTATTTCTGCTACAACCTGTAGTTTATGGATCAGTCATTTTTTCCATTTTTTCAAAGCAGTAAAAACTGACATGGAGTCTGTAATGATGAAGAATTTCTTGTAATTACTCAAGGTTATGAAGTATCAAGTTAATGGCAAATATTTCTACACTGTATATAGAAGCTTTGTCTGGATTTTCAGCAGATATTAGACAGATGAGTATTTATCAAAAGAACATAGAGAAAATATAAAATGATGTAGGAAGCATACACAAAAAGGTATCAGATAGTTCCCAGGATAGGATCTCCTGGCAGACTCTGTAATTATCTCCAATCAAAAGAGAGAGCTGATGTATTTTTTGGTGACAGTTTTCATGAATGAGTTCATAAATTTATTTTATATTTTCTGATATCTTGCTGGTGATTGGTTGCCCTGAACACTTGTACTTTTGAGCTTTGACTGATTTTGAAATGTGCATGCCACTCAGAAATGTGTTCAGCCTAAAGAATGCTTGGCAAAAGCCTGATAAAACATTTCAAAGGTTCTAGTAACAGATTTTCATGCAAAATCTGATGCAGACATGCTTTTCAGCCATTATAAAGGTTGCAGAGCTGTTCCAATACAATGTTCCCAAACTATATATAATAATTGAACACAAGTAGATAGCAGGAAGCCTATTGGCAAACTGAGTTTTAGCTGTGTTTACTTTTCCAAAATCACAGCATGTCCAGTCTGGGAACCTTATGATGCCACTTTGCACATTGAGAGAAGGAATTGAACCCTGAACATCTGGTTGAAAAAGCTCAACCTTTTAGTACACACTCAAACTTATCATGTAATTATCAGCTCTCAAAGTCTGTTTTCATGACTTCCTGCATTATTTGCAATGAGGTCATCATATATTATGGCAGAGTATATATGGGATGTATTACAGTGGGTTGAGAGCTGATATTTAAGGGGTGGGTTGAATGCTAAAGGGTTAATGGATAATTACTAATTTTGTACAGATTTGGAAGTAGAGAACATAAGACAGATTCAGTACATAGGTTGAAGAAATGAAAATTCTTAATATTTCATTGTTTTTTTGCAATGTATTTTATAAGGAAATTGTGTGTGTGTATTTTTTCAGATTGTGTTCTTGGCATTAAAAAATATAACAATGCTCATAACATTGGCTTAGCTATTTTGGTGAATAGGGGGAGAAATCCCATTAACTGCATCATTGTAGATTTTTGTATCTTTCCTCTAAGAACTTCCACTTTTGATGTCTTTCAAATATAAAGTTGAGAATGGGATCAATAATTTACACTACGAATAGAAAACCTTGAGCTGGTGACAAATCCATCTCTTCGATTTAGAGATTGATTTAAATTCTCAGAACATGCTGAGAGTCATGGCTTTATATGAAAGTATAATTCTCCCACTAGATATATACTTATGCTGTAAGAATCTCTGTGGCTGAAATGTTAATGGCAAACCCAGGAGTTCGCTTTTGGTCAGAACATTTCTTCTCATTTTATATGAGACAAGGCCGCCTGGCCCTGGAAGATTCCAACCCTGCAATCACTGACAAAATTAATGTCAAAATTTCATTTTCTTGGGATCTTTGAAGTAATAAAAATATGTTCTTCTAATTTTACAACTGAATACATGGAAGATGGTACTCAGTTTTTTATGCATATAAATGTTTATGTAGACATTATTATTAGAGGTGGTGATATGTGTATTTTATGTTGCAGTTTGGTTGAAGTCATATTTTGAAATACAGTTTGATTTCATTAAGATTGTAAGATATTATAGTTCTTTCATGTTGGTTGTTTGGTTTTGTTTGGCAGTATATCAACCTGTATGGGTTATTTAATACTGAAATCTAAATATTTTGTAGATAATCAGTCAAGTCTGTAAATTTTGAAGAAGCTTGTTACCTGACTCATCAGTGCAAGAAAATAAAACAACAAAGCAACTCAGAATCAATTACCACAACCAGTTTTAAGTGACCTCACTGTCCCAGTCTATGTACTGTCAGTCTGATTACAGAGCATATGAGATTTCACAGATGAGGATGAAGATCATCATCATCATCTGTCCCATGACTGAGTGTGGTTGTAAGGTCAGTTGACCATCTTCTTCCACATGTCTTGATAGTAGTTATTCATGTGTAGCATGTCTTGGGCAAAGTTGATCTGGTGGAGCCCATTCCTCTCCAGGTCAGACCACAGCCAATATCCCCTAACTTGCTTTGGCCAATGAATCTCACAGTCTATTTAGCAAGCCTTCCACTCAACAATATCGTGTTATCACCACTTTGACTATCTTGCCAGTAGTTCAGTTCCATGTGCAGATTTACCCTACAACCAGTCAACACTATATAGTTACTGTCTCTTGGTTGAATTCCTCACTGGTTCATTTCTTCGTATTTGAAAGTCACTATATCTAAGTCTGTTTAAATTATTTACAAGGGCCGATTGGTGACTGAAACAATATTAGCATTTAGTACTATTAGTAAGTGAGGAGGCACAGTGGAGTAATGGATATCATCTCGGATTGAGAAATCAGTTTGGTTTGTTCTGTTTTAAGGCATATCAACCACAATGGGTTATTTAATACCGACAAAATTTCTTTTTTTTCCAAAATGTATAGCTGGTAATTTTTTTCAGAAATGTATAGTTTGGTTTGTTTTGTGGCATATTTACCTCAATGGGTTATTTAATGCTGACAAGATTTTTATTTCTGGTAATATTTTTATTTTTCAAATATTTATTGCTGATACTAATTTTTTTAAAAGTATTTCTGGTATTAAAATTTATTTTTACAATTTCATAGTGTTTTGAGTCAAGTTGTGGGGTCAACTATTTGTCCATAGCTGGGACCCTAACAGTGCTACCACCCTGGGAACACCAGCAATTAAGAGGTGGTTCTACATTCCTCAAAACCTCCTGATAAGAGGCCTTGATGTTGGACGTAGTTTATCGTCTTACCCAGGATGCAGATGCAGTTTATCGTCATTCCCAGGACAGTGAGAAATTGGAGAGTTGACTTTGAATTCCAGTCGAATCTATTACATTCACTTACGTATTAATACCCTTGGGAAAGGTATGAATCCTCTTATTCTCCCTCCCAGCTATAGGTAAATACAAACAGGGGTTCTATAACTGGTCTATCGGAGAAAGAAATGGCAACCTACTGCAGGAAAAAAATCTGATTCGTCAGTCATGTATCGAAAGATACATGATCACCTAAGCATGTATCACGCATGGTACATAATTGACTGACTGACTTGCTAATACCTTTGGGAAATGTATGAATCTTCTTCTCTGCCCAGCTATGGGTAAATACAGCCCAGGTTCTATAGCCTTGGATGGCAACTGGTCTATCAAAGAAAGAAATGGCAACCTACTGCAGGAAAAAAATCTGATTCATCAGTCATGTATTGAAAGATACATGATCACCTAAGCATGTATCACACATGGCACATAATTGACTATTAATAAGTTTTAAAGTTATGGTGAAGTCAGAATATTAAATACTGATTTTTAAGATATTTATGATTCCTAAACATCTCAGAATGTAGTCAGTATTTTATCTGCATGTCTCTCTACTTAACAGTCTAGCCAGATCAATCATTGTTCAAATTAATTTGATGCTGAAAAGAGAAATATTTTGGACCAGACCAGATTAAATTTCTTATTACAGAGGAAGCAAAATTCATCACAAATAACAAGTAAAATGATTTGCATCAAATTACACTAACTAATGTTATTTTCATACATTTGGAAGATATGTCAACCCGTACCTTCCTGGACTTGGTGATATAAGTCAGGTTTAACATTGTTTTATTAGAGTCATCTTATAATTGCAAATATAGAAGGATCCTTAGGTTTCTGTCTCCATAACTACTTGCTCCAGTAA